AAAAATTTCTCTTCATCATTCCCTGATTATTATTTTTATTTCAGTTAAAATTTTCCACAATTCAATTCATGTTATTAGATTGTATTTTTCTTATATAAATTAAATTAAATAAAAAAAAAAAAAAAAGAAAAGTAATAATAAAAGGATAGATAAACTAAAAGTGGAATCGTCGCGTCTCGGATTCTTCTTTTGTCCTATTGTAATCCTTTATCATTCTTTTCAAATGTCTTATTATATTCGTAACTATAATGATTTGAGCCAAGACGTTAATAAATGAAAATTTGATCCAACTGACAAATCCGAAGAAGCAAGAATTAACTATCTCCCTGAAGGATCAACTAGTTTATCTCTCTCTCTCTCTCTCTCTCTCTCTTTCTCTATCTTTCTTTCTCTCGTACAATCTTCCAATCTTTTGAATAACGAATGAGTCGTCTTTACATTTGTGTCAATTCACGCGGGAAATTGAAAATTTCATAGAAAACGAGTTATATATCAAAGTCACAACTTGTGAACATTACTGGTGAATGAAAAAGATCCATTTAGATAAATCCAAATATAAAGAAATAAGACAAGAAGGAAATTCTTAACAGTTGCCAATTCGCTTACAAAAATAAAAAGAATGAGAGAGAGAGAGAGAGAGAGAGAAAATTTCTGATAAAATCGATACATTGCAATTCGATTATAGGTAATAAATAATATCAAAAGTAATCATCCAATTTCGAAAAACTGTATTTTATAAAAAAAAAAAAAAAAGAAAAGAAAATTCTTTTTATATGTCGTATCGAAATTTATTTGACGCGTCCAGCTTAACTGACCTAAATATTCTGTTTATCCTTAAATTAATTTAGGTAACAGCAAACGAGTTTGCTATTAAAGATGAACCACTACTACAGTAAAGTTTAACACCTTCAAAAGGGATGGTTAGTTTCATATCCGTTTTCTTTTCCCTTCGCAGTCGAAATTATTCGAATTATTTTTTTTTTAATAAGATTGTTCAAAGAAATTTTATTATCTTTCTGTACAGTTTTTCTTTATTTTCTTTTTATTTTAATTTTAATTTGATGAAAAATTAAAAGAAGGAAATTATCATTGATCAGAGATAAAACAAATTTTTCTTTGAAAATTACGATTAATCTTTGATTACGATTAATCTTTGAATACGAATAATCGAAATATAGTAACACGAGAAATTCTCTTGTTTGTAACTGGTTCAATTAACTCGTATGTACTGTGCTACTTTGTATTTGATTGCTGCGGGTAATTAATTCCTTTGGCGTATCTCTCCTCAACTGGAACAAATTAAAATACGAAACAAATTAAACGAAAAAAGTCCTTTATTTCTGTAATTTGTTTTAGTCTACAGTGTATAATATCGTTAAGGATAATTGATACACCCCTATTGTTATTTTATTTGGATTACAATTAACAAAGGATTGGGAACATTTGGTTCGAACCGTATTATTGAATTTGATGTAATTAGAACACACGACGCGTGATAAAAATTTCGAATATCTTTTCAAATGATTACAATGATAAAATAGAAATCATTTTTACCGACGCATCGAACATCGTTTTCTACATTACCGACAGTACGTAATAATACTGCAGCTGAATCGACAGTCGGTAATATGCGAAAGAAACTTCTTTCTTGTATTCACTGTCGGTAAGTATGCAAAAATACTCTATCGATAATGCAGATTGGCGCTGCTGTTTCATTCGAGACAAATAATTGGCTATGACGTATTATTATAGTTTCAATAGCGGTAACTTCAAAGAACTCCTATACCCAAATGGGAAACGTGAACCGTGAATCAATAAAAATGAATGTTCAATCATGCGATTATAAAGTTTTTTATCAATAATTCCAACATTTTATTGACTCGATACGCATATGTAAATACAATTAATAATCTAAAATGCGTTGTGACTTAAATACCAAAACATTTAAGTTATGTCGTTGCGCATGTAAATGGCGATGCAAATGTTTGATACCACGTAAGAAAAAATCTTCACCGGCTTTTAATAGTTCAACTGAGAGAGATGGGACGATTGGTTTACATCCAAAATTGTATACTTCATCATTGGATGCACCATCGGTTGGTCGATACAATATTTTGCCGATCAAAAGTAAAGGAACAGCTATAAGGTAATTTGTTTAATAAAAAAGAAAAAACCAAATAATTTGCAACCGATAAACCGAGAAGAAAAGAAACAGAAAAAGAAAAAATTAATAAAAAAAGACGTATAATTTGATTCCTCGATAAAAATACACCATTTGGATGGTTAATTTAGTTGGAAGAAAGAACTGGAAACGAAGCAATTTTCGGTGAGCTTGGGTGGTC